TTCAAACTGAGATAATAATTTACTACTTTTGCTAACAGTAAAAGTGTAAATAAGGCATGTGAAATTGAAATGGAAAAAATACGAGTTAAAAATTAATGACGGCTGGCAGTGCGTCATCTTATAAAAATACAATTTAAGTTGTTATCATTAGTATTAATATTGATAATGAAAATAAAACAAGTGAAATTAAAATGGGAGACATACGAATTAAAATTAAATAACGGTTGACAAAATTCAAGATATTAACAATATTATTAGCGGTAATGTAATAAAGGTAATTAAGATGAAAGAAAAAATAGTAAAATATTAATTGCAGTTTCAGATGCTATAATTAATAAAATTTAGAGATAATATTACTACTACTAGTAGTAGTAATAGTAGTAGTAGTAGAACTAAAGCAATTGAAATGAAGATGAAAGAAATATCGGTCAAAAATTAATAGTTGAAGCGAGAGCTGAGACAAGTCAACAGAGGACGATGGAGCTGTTGAACCCCACGTAACCTTTTGTCGAGAATTCCCAACGACCATCTCGCGTGAAATTTTTAACACGCCCCAAGTTCTAGAAGCAAGACACCCAGTGTCACGGTAGAAAACTTAACATGAAGTGCTAATATGGTGTATCAACGACTATATAAGCCAATTCTTTTTATTTGTTACATTTGTATTTACCCCAGTGGAAGTATTCGATTCAGCATTTAAGTACGAACGAACATTCGATCTTCAATGCTGATTAAAGGATCGGTGGACACAACGTGAAGCAGAAGAGATGAAGGAAAGAAATGGTCAGTGGATAACCATCAGTTGACTGGCGAGGGTACTGAACAGCGTGGAAACAATGCAGGGTCGAGCCGGACCGGCTGTGTTATAATTTATTGGATCGAAGCCATTTTCAACAATTGATCTTAGAGAACCGTTATGAGAGTTTCTGGTCGAGTATGGTGCCTTGCATGACATAAAGTACAGTACCCGGATGCTTTATTACCATGATTTTTATTCCGTGCTCTACAAAAATAGCTTAGTACCCGACCACGTGTATCATTATGATTAACCTTTACGTCAGGGAACACTGGTTACCAATTTAGACTCATAACCAATTACTGCAGTTGTGAGTTCAAATTTGAATAGATAAATTATATTATAGCGTTAAGATTAAGTGGCTGGCAATTTAGTCTAGAAAAACTGCACTACATTGGTATGCTTGATCCTCACTTGGTGTATCGCAATTGCAACGTGTTGTCAGGAAAGCCCGACTCCCTTCAGCCGCGTCCACCACCCACACTCCTCAGTGGTTCCTGCTCAAGACTCTTCAGGATCAAGCTGGGCCTTCACGGCTATCTCCGCCAGCAGAGGACAGAAAGGGAATAGAGACAGAGAATGCGACTGATGAGCTACTTGAAACCGCTTTCGGCAATGAATACTTTCGCTGGCTAGCTGATACACAGCCCGATGCATAAAGACGATCGATATGCAATATGGTGACGCTTTTCTTTCCTTCATGTTGATGAAAGCCATCTGCAATTTGCGTTACATTAACCTTGTGTTGTCTCGAACTCTGATGAATCTTATGTTCATTTCTCGCATCGGTACTTTTTACATTGACCGTGATTGGTGAGTTTGCCTCCTGAGACCACGGTTCTAAGTATAACTTATCGTGAGCCCCTCGTAGAGCAGTGTCACTTTGAAAATACTCTGACTCTGATACTCTGACATAAATATTTGGCCTATAATTGTGAGATTTAAAATATGAAATGAAATACCCACGGCTGGCTTCCTGGCTTATATAATGGCTCTGACTGTTTTTATAAGACACTAGCTATATATATATATATATATATATATATATATATATATATATATATATATATATATATATATATATATACCGGCGTGGTGTAATGGTTAGTAGCTTGTCTACTTGTCTAGCTGAAACGATTACGACGGAATAGTGAGTTCGATAACAGAGAATACAACTTTATATATTGGCAGCTGTCAGTATACCACATAACATTCTTGCGCGCTTAGCCTTGGAGCGGGTGGAATGGACATCAAAGTGTTTTAGTGGACTCACCAGTTTTCAATCTGCTTGTCTGAATCATTTTAAAGAAGCGAGAGCAAGAACTAAAAGGTCAGCCAATCTAACAGTGATCTCTTCTCACAATCCTAACACTTGCTCCATATGTGGCCTCTTTTGTAAATCACTAGTGTGTCTTAAATGCCACTTAAGATTATCGCACAAAATTTCATAACTGAATCAACTAAGCTGTCAGATCCTCATACGTCGAAACCGACGGGAGAGTCCATTATTATATATATATATATATATATATATATATATATATATATATATATATATATATATATGATGTCTTGCTTGGGGTAAAATTTTTAAAAAGCATAAGGTCTTCTACACTTCCTTTCTTCATTAATTTTGATGTCATATCAATGTTTTGCTCGGAAATTCTCTTCTAATTCTACTTTTGACAAATCTGGAGTATCTTTGCCTGAGTTACCACTAAGAACTGAGTATATTGTTTCATATGCATATAGCTCCGTCCCTGATTCTTGCTGTCATCTCTAAACTGGATCCCTACAATGCATGTTAACTTAGGGATATCTCTGCAATAGTCCGAATAAAATGAACTGGTTCCTGTTCTCTCTAAACTTTACAATAAAGGCCTTGCTGTTTCTTCGTTTCGTTTTATTTGGAAAGCTTCGTCTATAGTTTCAGTCATTAAGAACTCAGGCAAAACGCCTGATGCTTGTAACTATCAGCTTATTAGCCGTCTACCTCTTTCTTGTAGAGTATAAGAGGCTGCATGATCTCCACTCTTCAAAAATTGAAGTGCAAGCTCTCATCTATTTACAGTTGAAATAGTGATATTTAACCGTAATTTCTCTGCTAAGAGTTTCTTCTGGCTTATAACTTCCCAGTCAACTTTGATCTTCAGAAATTTAAATGCAATGTCAATAGTTATTTACTATCGTCTCAGTTCCTTTTCCTTTAATTTTCTCTCTCCTTAATAGTTTTTTTATTCTTTCTTACTTAGTAACCTCTAGCGTCCTAATGATTTTATCGCTTTGCATTGAGTGAAATGATTTAAAAAAAGAATAACTACTACCGTTTCTTAACAACTGTGTATGTTAGGGTTAAAGATATAGAAGATATGATGGTAAATACATACCAGAAACGTTGCTACATGTATGTCTGGGATGCAAGGGGTGAAAGTTCGAATCGAAAGCAGCTTATTTGTATCCATTTGTCGATGTCTTGTATAATGAAGAATGGAATTATTTCGTGTCAGAATCGCAGATCTCTTCAAGTGTAGCCCAAATCTTTTCAGCGTTAAATCTAAATTAAGTACACACTGTATAATGATTCTTGTGAGTCTCAGAATCTGTTCGCCAAAATCAGAATGAATCGGAATTCTTTGGAAACAACCCGAACATTCTTGGCCCGCGATCAAAATTGGTTGAACCAAATAAATAATGGTGCTAATGAGTGGTTATTAGCTTGAAAAACATTTCAAAGTCCATTTTCTAAGATTCTAGCGTCAGATTATTTCCATCACATACTCAGCTGCAACGATGTTTGTAGCCAAATGATGAAAAACACGTTTGTTTTAAAAGAACAAACGCAATTGGTTACTTTGTCAACGCACTTGATGTTTCTCTTTTAATGACATTGGTCGACCATTATCCAGTGGAAAATTCGGATAAAATTTATTAAAATTAAGCTACAGACATTGATACGGCGTTACACACACACACACACACACACACACACACACACGCACGCACACACACACACACACATGTATATACTGGGTGCGATGATTAAATTGTCGCCATTTTATATATTTTTAATTTCGTGCATACGCGTTGCTTATTGATTTTGTCGACAGCACAGTAGAGTAGGTTCAGTTGGGTTCTGTCTGTGAAAAAAAGAGCCCCATGACGCAATTCACGCCGCCTGAAATTTGGAAACGGCATGCTGTACTGCTTGTCATTCGCACCGGAAGCTCAAATACGAACATTTCAGAGTGTTTGGGTGTCACTATGAGGACAGTGCAGAGGATTTGAAAAAAAGAGTTGGATGAGTCTACTGGTAATTACGAAGTTACGGCAGCTATCCTGAATTTTTTGCTGAGATCCAGGCCATGGTTGAAAACGATCCCTTCAAGACAATCAGATCCATACGCAGGGAAGTAGTGCTGCCGAGCGTCAAGAGGGTGGCTGCTGAAAGACCCTATATCTGGCAACAGGACTCTGCACCATGCCACACAAGCAAGAGAACCTAGTCATAGCTGTCAGACAATTTCTGCGATCACATCGCCCTTTACATCTGGCCACCTAACCCTACCCACACTGATTATTTTGTGTAGGATACAGTTCTCCTTGTAACACCAAAGATGAACTGAAGGCAAGGATGATGGCATCTAAAACAAGAACAGAAGAGTTGCAGGAGATTCCAAAGTCGTCCAGAGACCGTGGTTGAAGCCAATGGCGATTTTATTGAATAACTTTACTCTTTAGTATTTATTTTTGTGTAATTTTGGTAAATATATCTGTTAAAATGAGATGCCCGTGTAATTTTTGCGTCATTTAGGCGACAATTCATCCTTAGGACCATGTATATTTATTACACCAATCGTTATTTTTAGTGGATACCCGTATTTTAAACAGTTTTTATTTCGTCTACCGGCCTACTCAATCAAGGAAACTAAAGCAGGATTCATACCTGCGTCCTTCTTTGTAGGTAAAATTACCGTCTGATCTGGCGTTCTTTGGCTGCTCGGCTGCGGGGAACTTCACAATCAAACAAGACTCTATTTGCCTTTCTTGGGTATGAAGAGCTGTAGACGAAATAAACACTGTATAAAAATAGAAGCATCTAAACAAATACTGTTATCACTCGATTGAAGTAATAAAAAGATCGGATTAATAAATAAAATATTTAGAAATTGATTTGATTATATTTCGGATATGAAACTGAGCAGTTATGGCTTTCGGGAGTTTGTTCAATTTCTATCTATCTATCCATCTATCTATCTATCTATCTATATGTTGCCATATTTATTACAACATTTCGGCCTTTCATTATCTGTCTATATTTCTGAGATGGGGTATTATGTACACTATTTACATTATTCGGACTATTGTCCTCATCTTTGTTGCCATATTTATTACAACGTTTCGGCCTTTCAGTATCTGTCTATATCTCTGAGATGAGGTTTTATGTACACTATTTACATTATTCGGACTATTGTCCACATCTTTGTCGCCATATTTATTATAACGTTTCAGCCCTTCAGTATCTGTATATATTTTTGAGATAAGGTATTATGTACACTATTTACATTATTCAGGCTATTGTCCTCATCTTTGTCACTATAGTTAACAAAATATGGCAACAATGATGAGGAAAATTGTCCGAATAATGTAAATAGTATCTATCTATCTATCTATCTATCTATCTATCTATCTATAAGCAAAAGAAGGCACAGGTTCGAGTACTGCAGAAGGGCACATTTTATATAAGTTTACTTGAGGGCACAGGTCGGTTAATGAAATAAAGTCTACTCAAAGATGCGTGTCAACTAAAACAAGCTTTAAAGTGATAAAAGTGTCAGATTAAAATATAAAATCAATTAATTTTTAATATATACATCTATATATATATATACGCTACGTCCACGGAAAATGCCAGGATGAACTAAATTCCTTGGTTCGAGCAGTTCCAACCGTCACGGCTAGGACCCACCCTACCACTCCCATTTTAACAAACTATACTCATTCCCTGCGGGAGAAGTAAGTTCTACCTGAACAGCTTCTTTCCTCCAACCTCTTCTCTGTGGAAATGAATCTTAAGGCGGGGGGGGGATCTTCGGTCACTACAATCTTACTCTGTTCAAGGCCAGGGTTAAACGTTATCTCCTACACACACACACAGACATATATATATATATATATATATATATATATATATATATATATATATATATATATATATATATATATATATATGATATCGAATGAAAATAAATAGAGAATGAGTGCGCGCTTGTGTAAGAGTGACGTGAAACGACAAAGCTATATTGCGATGGTTAAAAAGCTCATCTTAGAAATAGTGAGTCCGATTCTCACATTCGCATATATGTACAGACACACACAAATATACACACATACACACTTACTGGGAGAAAACTTGTATGTAGTGTTGCTTTCTACAGCTACATAAAATTACATATGATTTATATTTATATATATATATATATATATATATATATATATATATATATTTGGTTGGATAGATGTGAGTTCTGATATTGAGCGCTTTCTAATAAGTACCAAGTATATAATATATAAATAATTATACATATATATATATTTATTTATATTTATATTCACTTTTCACACACACACACATATATATATATATATATATATATATATATATATATATATATATATATATATATATATATATATATATATATATATATATATACATAGTGGTAAATATACACATACATATTCAAAATATATAAATATATATACATAGGTGCATACACATACATGTATATTTTTTGAATAAAAATTCCATGAGGAGAGAATCCAGGACAGAGTAAGGATATAATAAAAAGGCTGAAACCCTAATATTCCATGGTCATAATTTATTCCACTGGAATCGTAAATACGATCCAATTCATCAGTAGGTCTGGTGAATTGGATCGTATTTACGATTCCAATGGAATAAATTATGACCATGGAATATTAGTGTTCAAGCCTTTTTATATATATATATATATATATATATATATATAAGGTTAATGGTCAGAGTTGAATCAGACAAGGAAACCGTCTTATTAAAAAAGTGCTCAATACATGTGTGAAAAAAATGAAATAAAAGTAAAAATAAAATATAGAGCTTTTTATAATAATATAGCCTCAATTAGCTAAAAAAAAATAAAGCTTCAAAAGGTCATTTGATAAAAATCGGCTGATGACACCGTAATTTTTAAAACCGTGTAGCTTATTTTTTAAATATATATATATATATATATATATATATATATATATGAAGAAATATTGTTTTAAGGTGTGCTATATTTATGGGATAAAGTGCTCAATATCAGAGGGGGCAGGCTGTTTCATGCTAGGCGCAATCGTTCCATCCCAAGCCATGCAATACAGTCGCTAAGATACACGGAGTTACTGGGTGTAAAAAAAGTTACTAATGAGCCGGAACAAAAAATAGTAAACAGGATGTGATTAAATAAACCATTGACATTGTATTTAAATTTTGGAAGATCAAAGTTGACGGGAAAGTAAGAAGCCGGAAGTGAGTTTCACAAGCAAGAAGTCCGAGAAAATAAAAAGTAAAGATAGAATTTATGGTGACATCTAGCCAACTGTAAACTGAGGATATTTCGGCGCCAGTCTAGTTTGGCGCTTCAATCCAAAAAGTCTGGGTACCATAGCAAAGAGTTCATCCAAGCAATATAAATGGATAAAAAGACAGGAGGAAAAAATATTCTTAGCCGACTCTCTCTCTCTCTCTCTCTCTCTCTCTCTCTCTCTCTCTCTCTCTCTCTCTCTACATATATATATATATATATATATATATATATACAAACAATTATCCGCACGCACGGATGTATATGGAGCAATGTTTATTTTGTTTGCTACCTTTTATATGCGGAAGAAATGTACATATTAACACAAGCTGGATAAGTACGCACATATATTTGTGTTGCAATACACACGCAAATAAAGAGAGGTGTACACACGCACTCGCTCATATATATATATATATATATATATATATATATATATATATATATATATTTGTCTGAAACCAGTTTAATTAAAAAGCATGTGTAATGGGTGTTTTAAAGATTGAAGCAATTGAGTCAGGAAAAATACCCGTTTTATTTATCTTTATAGAGTTGAAAACGATGGCAAACTCTCTTTTAATAAATACCACGTCGAAAGCAAGTGCACTACAGCAAGTTCGCTTTTTTATATCCACTGCCCCTCCTCCTAAACTTCTGCCTGTTTCTTTCTCTCTCTCTCTCTCCCTCCCTCCCTCTCTCCATATTTATGTGTGTGTGTGTGCGCGTGCGCACGTGTGTGTGTGTGCGATCCCCGTTAAGCATTGTTAAATGTGTCACAGTGTTTCTGAGGCTTGATGCTTTATGCTTATTGGTGTTATTTTGATTCTACCAAAATAAGCAGCTGTTTTTTTTTTTTTCATTTCACCCCAAGCAAGGCGTTAATGCCACTAGTACGCCGGGAGTTACAAGGAGTGGACGTGAAATAGAAGACTAAGAATAAGCAGGGCTGAGAAAAAGACAAAAGATGGCCGGGTTTCAAGAAGACAGAAGACGGCGATTAAATTTAAATATTTAAATTTTTCAAGATTTTAGTTATCATGGAATCAAGTAAACAAAAGAGATTTACACTGATGGAGAAATTGCGGTTGGATTTGACTATTTTAACGGTAAAAGGGTGGGACCTAGATGCCAATCTAGTAGCACGTTTAAATTCATATAGTCAAGGCGCCAGGGGAAATAACTCGTCAAGAGCAGTTGGCATGAAAATATTTGTAGAGAAAGACAAAGGGAAATCACGTTTTAATCTTGAATATCTGTGTAATTGCAATAAAAACCTTTAAATCATAAAATGATAACACGACTGGCGTAGAAAATCCTTTTCTTTTTTTTAGAATTCTGCTTAACTGAATTTTGCCTCCTGGGTATGACGATAAACTACATCTGCGTCCTGGGTATGACGATAAACTACGCCCAACAGCAAGGCCTCTGATGAAGAGGTTTTGAGGGTCGTGGAACCACGCCTTAATTGCTGGTGTTCCCAGGTTCACCCTGACCCGCGGTGGTAGCACCTGTTAGGGTCCCAACTATGGGCAAATAGTTAACGTCCCTAAACTGGGGTTAAAACACTATTAAATTGTAAATATAAGTTTTAATACCAGCAATAAATTTTTAATGAAAAATTATTACCGGCAATACATTATTACCAGCAATATATTTTTGAAGGAAATATTACCTGCTATACATTTTTAAGGAAAAATATTACCAGCAATACATTTTTGAAGGAAAACAATTTCCAGCAATATATTTTTGAAAAAAAAATATTACCAGCAATAATCTTGTCGGCATTAAATAACCAATTGAGGTGTTGATATGCCGTAGAACAAAACAAACCAAAACCAAATTTAACTGAATCCTGATTTGGGTTTTCATGACCAAACAAAAACAGTTTCTTCTCAAATTTCAGCATGGTTTTAGTTCCATTTTTTATATGCATCTTTATTGTTACTATCACATCGTTTCGATCGTTGTGTCCTCCGGCCTTCATCAGGACATTTTTGATCCGGGTAACCCTCAGAGACTTTCGAAATGAATCATTTATTTTGTCTTATTTAGTACTGCTTACTTACTGCTTGCCCAATTTCCACTGAGTTCAAATAGAATTGGTCAGCCTAGTAATTTTACTTACAATTATTATGTCACCAAATCCGCGAAGTAACTAAGCCGTGGGACAATCCTGAGTTCAGAACATTAAGCCTTAAATGTAACCTCCCCCACCCCGTTGAGTTCTGATGCTGTTTGCCATCTGTTAATGCAATTCACTAAGACATTTCTATTCTACTGTAGATGCTACTGTTGAAACCTTACTGTCATTTCTCTTTCTTTCGTATATTACGTTCACGTCTACACAACCATCCTTGGAGAAGGCAGTCAACTACCTCTTCCCTTCCGACTTAAATAACAGAACCAAATGATCTCTTTAGCCTTGGGTGGTAGCCAATCGAGGTAGAAAGATAAGTCTGACTGAAAAAAATGGTTTGTTTGTTTGATTGTGTTTTGCGGCATATCAACCGCGTTGGGTTATTTAATGCTAATAATAGATATCCGGGCCTTGATAATTAGATAGATAGCTTGTCATTCATCGATATAAAGATATATAATGTTGATATTTACACCTTGACAATCAGATAGATAGCTTGATAATCACACTTCGACATATATATAGATATTCTGATATTCCGGCCTTAGAGGCTCTTGCAAGTAATTTAGCAGAGCTTAATCGTAGCATTATAAAAAGGAAAATTTTTTTTTTTAATTTTGTTATAGATACCGATTTCTGAAAGGAAACTGTATATCTTGTTCGTGTCTGTCTCTTAAAAGACTCTTTTAAGTCTCTTATGGTTATAACAAAATTGTGGTGAAGCAACGGGAAACCACTCCACGAACTTTACCAAGAAACAATGACAATTCACAAATAATGACAGGAAATCTGTAGAGAAATATTGTTGAATAGCATTTATTTTATTCTTTAGGGACAACTTACTGGTCAGATTTCAAAATCGGTGTTCTTTAATCATTTTCCTCCCACGTCGGCCGACTGTGTTGGTGTACCGTTTGAGAAGATAATATAAAATGTATGGATGCCATAGAATAATTAACGGACTAGTAGT